GGTTCCACAAAGAACCATTCAGTCAAAGGTTCTTTAAAGAACCATCTCTTTCTTACCTTTTTATAATCTGAAGAACCTTCTTTCATCACAAAGAACCTTTTGTGAAACAGAAAGGTTCTTTAGATGTTAAAGGTTCTTTATGGAACCATCTAGACAAAAAGGTTCTTCTATGGTATTGTGAAGCACCTTTATTTTTAAGAGTGTAGGGTTAGGATTAGGGTTACTTGCATGTAATTATGCATAATTTATTGTTAATATAAGTACATGTAACGTACCAAGGGCACCTTAAAAATAAAGTGTTACCCAGATTCCATATCTGTTTTAGTTTGGTTTACATTCACGTTTTCATATCTCTTGTTTTGTAATTTAGTCAGTAATTTTTCCTGTTTAGTCATGCTTCCTGGTTCCTTATAGTGTAATTTATTGTTTCTTCTTTAAACAGAACACGTGAAACTTGACTGTGTCAACATGCACTGTTTGTCCACACTGGAGTGCAACACGCACGGCAGCCCTTAAAATTGCTGTATTTGAGTCTATTTGCATATGTGATGTGATGGTTCGTTGTTTATACATGAAAGATGTTGTAATGGTACACTGGTATGTACATATGCAAACAACAGGCATTATATTTGTTCACAAGGGATAATGCATCAGTGCGTTGTGTATGATGTAGGCTTGCTGCCAAATACATTGCCCACCGCGGTACCGCCCCCACTGTCATTTGGCTTTTTTATAGAAATAAAAATCATTTAGTTCAGTTGGACTACAGACACTACAGTAAACTGAAAGCGTCTGCTCTGCTCCATACAGTTCATGCTGCAGAGCCGCAGCACAGTGCGAATACTTCGGGTGTATGGACGCGAAAGTGAACGCAGCAAAAATTAAGATGTAAAAGTAAATTAAGGGTGCGTTCACACTTGTAGTTCTGTTCTCTTGGTTTGTTTGGTCCAGACCAGTTTGGTATGCTTAGCATTTTTTACAGCGAACCTAAAAATACCAAACCTAAAAGCATAGTGATACATTCACAACCTGACTGGTTGGGTTGAATGACATATATTTCGTGACGGAACTCCAAAAAATAGGTGTGTTCGTGTTAGGTTGTTCACAGACCGATCGGTGTATGACATCTATGTACCCATTTACCAATCGGTCTGCTCAGTGCTGCTTTAAGTTGAATACACCTAATGCCGTCTGCTGGACTAAGCAAGCTCATTGTTGCGTGTACATATGGTTTTATTTTCACCACCTGTGAACTCACAGAGAGCTCATAAAAGGAACTTTGCATCCTCGTTGCTCCACGTTTGCCCTCTGCTCATTTTGTTTTGGATATACCGCCTGTTCTGCATCATCAAATCATGTCGCATAGCATCGCATCTTGTCATTACATTCTGTTTTCGGTTCGTTTTAGAAGTATTTGGTCCGTGTTGCGTTCATAGTTCATTTGAAGTATGTACCAGAGTTCATTTTGGAAGCGGACCGAAGTGAAGTTTCCCTTCGAAGTCAAAATCGCCAAAAAAAAAAAAAATCATCTTAAAGGGGTCATATGATGCGATTTCAAGTTTTCCTTTCTCTTTGGAGTGTTACAAGCTGATTGTGCCCTGATAAAACTGGGCGTCTTAACACATACTAAAGAAACACGTTGAAAAACTGCTGCTGACTTAACATGGCCAGAATGTGTCTACACATCCAAAAAATTCTAAAATTTTCATGTTAACATAAATAAACAGTGCATGTTGACACATTCCAATTTCATGAGTTCCATTTATACTTTTGTCCCCTTCCACCTTCCATATTCCCTTGATGTGATCCTGGTTCTTTATTTCATGTCTTCTCATGGGTTTATTGTCTTGTTACCTTGTTAATCAGTTCTGTCTTTTTATTGTCCATGTATTTAAGCCCTCAGGTTTGCTATGTTTCCTTGTTATGTATTATTCACTGTAACCGCTGTGTGGTGAGGTTTGTCAAGTTATAAGTCTACTTGTGGTTTTTCTTTGTTTAGTTCTGTGTATTTGTGTTTGATCTCATTCCAAGAGAATGCACTTTTTGGGCTAGTTATCCTCAGTGGGTTATTGTTACATCCGAATTGCTAGATTCAAATTCAGAATTGCAAGATAAAATTGTGAGAAAAAAAAAACTTGAAAAACTGACTTGAGATATAAACTCAGAATTGTAAGATAGACTCACAATTCTAAGAAAAATCTGAAATGTAAGATATGAGCTAACAATTGAGAGAAAAAAGAATTGTGAGATAAAAAGTTGCAATTTTATTTTTTTTTATTCTGTGACAACATAAACAATTCTCAGAATTAGAATTGTGAGATAAAAGTTGCAAATACCTTTTTTTAAAATCTTTTTATTCCTTGAAAATGGGCTTCCATATGTTTTTATTTTAGTGCAGACTTAAAAACAGTAGCATATGTATGAATATTACTCACTTTTTATGAGGCTTGCAGGCTCCCAGAGAGGGTTTTCTGGAGAATGTACCCTTCCCACAGGGGACACATGGTTTATGGCAGTGCGTGACATAATTGTTTCCTTTTGTACAGTAAAAACCTGGTTTACAGAAGCATGATCTATTGTTGTCCTGAGTGCATGGAGTAACTTCCATCTCATTTCTATTCTCTGTTTCCACCCAAATACACAAAGACATAGAGAGCCATAAATGAACAAAAAAATCTACAAAAACATGCAAACATATTATCTACTGCTTATTAAATTAGTAATAAAAACTTTACATTTGAATTATACTTTTCACACTATGCTTTAGGGGCTGTTCACACAAAATTGGAATGAAATTTTTTTTTCATTCCACTGCACAGTTTTTCTACATAAAGACATGCTAGATGTAAAAAAAAATAGCATTTTTGCATTCCATTGCACAGGTTTTTATGAAAGCCTATTTCTGCCACAGAATTTTAAAAAATAATTGCGTAATTGTGACTTATTATCTCACAATTTAGTTTAATTTAGAGTTTATATCTTGCATCCTTCACGTGTAAAAACATCCTAATTGTGAAATATTAACCTAAAATTGGGAGAGAAAAAGTCGCAATTACCTTTATTTTGCATCGTAGGCATACATCACAGATGGATGTATTTGACCGTTGCTCGCGTTTTGCATCATTTGCAAGACACATTACTCTAAAAATGCAGCACTCAAATTAAAATAAGTTCACCTTTTAAAACCGCATCTCTAGACATTGTTGTCTTTTCACTGCTGCTGTTGAAAGTTGACATTTTAACTTGAGCACCACGTTTTTAGAATGCTTGTTGTCTTAAAAAGACGCAAAAGCAATGATCAAACATGTCTCTCTAGTGCATTTACATAGTAAACAATTGAGAAGTACCGCAATGGAATGGAAAAATGCGATCACATTTAATCCGACATTTTGCGATTTAAAAAGTTATGTTGCTAGAGGTGCATGTTTTTAAAATTGAATGTTTAATTTTATTGTTTTTTTTAAAGGTGCAAGACGCAAATGCAATGGTCAAACACATCCGTCGTGCATGTGTGCATAGAAAAACTATGGAAAAGGAGCACAGTGAAATGAAAAAACATGTCCTGTGTGAACAACCACCAAGAGGTCAACATGAAACTGACTCTATATACTTTTTTAATACACATTCCCAGTCTACATTCATTTTTACATGTTTTACATCACGTGAAAAGGCATATTCAATGAAGAGAAACTGGGTTGATTTTATCCAGTGCAAATTAATTGGATGATGAAATGTGGGCATTTCCACATTTCCCTCCCAAAAATCCTTAGTGACATCAGCTGAAAAATAATCTTGTTTCAGAGGCGATTTGCCGAAAAATAATGAAGACAAACTTTTACTTCTATGTTATAATGTGCTCTGATGAATCACACACAGTAAGAGCAGGAATGCGTATGAAGCAAATAATAAGAAGGACAACATGAATCCAGAATTCAAAACCATCCTGCGTCATTTTCAAAGCTCACTAGTGCTCAAATGCTGGGAAATGTCGTGCAACTACTAACCAGAACACTCTTGAGTACAGCGTTGACATCTCGAGATTCCCTGTTTGGATGCCTGGTAACATCCGTTATAACCTACGAGTGAAACAGAATGCAAACAATAGACATCAAAAGTAATCTCATATCTTCATGTGGCACGCACAACTCTAGCTGTGCAAGAGTAAAAGTACTTGCAGCATGATTAAAGGAGTTTTGAATTGACTGGTGTCTGATTTCTAAGTACACACTCATACACAAATTACAGACATTTTGAAACCTGAGGGAAAATCATTTAGTTAAAGGCTGAGTCAAAACTCCCTATAGTCAATTTGCACAAGTCAAAGCTTTATTCTAACAGAGGGTGCAATCATTTGGTCAGTAAGGGACATGGGTAGATGATCTGCTGTTTGTAAATGCCTGTTAGGTTTTAAAAGGGACAGATTGACTGTGTTTAACTAACTCATCTGACACTTTTAACCTACATGTTGACCGGCAGCATGGTTTTTCAGTTTCATTTTCACAAATGCTCCAAAATGATTTGCTAAGGTGTTTGGAATGGTTGCTAGGTGGTTACAAGAGTCCTCCTCCAAAACTCTTAAAGGGGTCATATGATGTTGCTAAAAAGAACAGTATTTTGTGTATTTGGTGTAATGAAATGTGTTTATGTGGTTTAAGGTTCAAAAAACACATTATTTTCCACATACTGTACATTATTGTTTCTCCTCTATGCCCCGCGAGAAAGGAAAAATTGAAATCGCATCATATGACCCCTTTAAGGTTTCATTTGTCTAGTAATGCTTACATTCAAATACACAATAAGTGCAGTATTAGAGTATGCAATACAAAATTACATGAAACTAAATGAATGGTTGAGGAACTAACCATATCTTCTACTATGGGTCATGCTTAATGCTTAATTTTCTTTAGACATTACGCATAACTTAATGGTTACAAAGCAGTGAGGTAATAATTTCTTGTGAAACACCCTCAGAGAGTTCAACTAGAGTTTGCATATAGCTCAGTGGCTACTTAGTCTATAACACATATGTACATATAAAGATGGGTTAAAACATAAGGTTTAGAACCCAAAATTCCAATTGAATTCTAAAATGATAAGGAACCAAAAATGGAAAACCCTTTTGGACTTAAAAAATACATAAACATAAGATGTTTAAATCCCATTGGCATCATTCAGCCTTCAAATAATTTATATATAGATGATTATTTCATCTTTTTCCACAGCTTTTTTTATTTCTCATATTTTAAACTAATGACCTAAAGATATGAGTCACTGAATACTATTGAAATAGGCGGACAGTGGGTTGTACTTCAGAAATACGTTGTGTGTGACATGGAGGAAATGGAAGTGGTATAAACTTACCAATAACCTTGACGTGTAGAATTGTAAAAATCTGTAAAAGGAAAACAACAGTTGACATTTTAGTCTGAATGTCTTTTCCAATCTGAGAAGTAAAAGTTAAATAAACACTTTCTTTGTTGCAACTGTTTGGATCCAGATGTCTGACCTCTGGCTTGTTTTATTCTCTTGGGAAGGAGTTAACCAATGGTTCTTTCATCGCTGTTTTGATCAGTTTTTGGATTGCGTAATCAGTTCAAAAACAAGTAGGTAAGTTTGACCCAAAATGAACTCCAAGGTAATAACATGAGCTTTTGACACATTGAATAGTGGTTATGGAGAAAAGTGCATTAGCTTAAAGGGTGTGCATTTTAAAGAGCATTTGATGGCAAGTTTGTTTGTTTTGGAGGTTTGTCAACCTGTTAGAAAAACCTGGCTACAGATTCTTTTAACCGGAGTGTTTTAAAACTAAAATCCATCATCAGATCAAAGCAAGGGAGTTAAAGATGAGTCAAAGATTGATTTAATCACAAACAGGCGTTCTGGGTCACCCAATCGCTGAGTAAAAACAGCTAGCATCCTGTTGTCTGAGGAACTAAGGTCAAGGAAAAAATGCCGCTGAGGGACAATCTGAATGTTTTCACTGCATTGCTTAATAGCACAACAGGACTGACAAATTCATGTATGCACCTAATCAGTTGTTGTGCCTGAGAACAAACAGATAAGGGACAGGTCACAAAATGGAAATTACTCATTGCAAAAAACACCCACAGACAAATTCTTATCAAGTTTGCTTTCCTGACCTGGTCACTACAAAAAAAAAAATCACACAAAATGTACAGGGAAACAAAGAGACACAGTGCACTGGGTTGCTTCTGCATCAGGGATCCCTTCATATTAAACCGAATGTCCATTCTGTCAGGGTTGACCAGACCTCAACTGATGGGTTTTGAGAAATCTTTTTATAGTTTTTTTTTTAATCTGGTCATGTTGTGATTAAACTGAGGGCAGAAATGAGTGCAGACGATTATTAGTAATTGCCATGCTTTGTTGTCCTCTCACTAAATTGGAAATTCTTTTGTGACTAAATTCTGAAGTGAAGCAAAAAAGCTAAAGCCTCAAAGGGTCAGTGTGCTGAAACCAAGAAACCGCTTTTTCCATTCAGTGCCTCTTGGTTGAAGCTCTTTCATTATATTGACTGTCACTGAATATTATTTACATATATTGACTATATGTGAAATGGAACTAATATTCGTGGAAAACGAATTATTTAATGTCATTAAACACCACAAAAACGACACAAAATTGTCTCAAAACCTAGTGAGCTGTCTATCCAAACCGCAATTTATTTAACTTAGACATTAAACAACAAAAGCTCATAGGAACACGTTCCTTCCCCTGAGCAAGAGCAATTTAGACTTTAATCGTTTTTGAGGGTAAATTATGAGTTCTTCCGATTGTTTTCTGAAAAACGACAGAATTAAAGACTCCCTGTGGAACTTAAAATGCTTATTCTGTGGCATCAAGCTGTCAGATGTTTTTGGCGCTAATTGGAACCTTTATTTTGAAGCTCACTTAGTTTTCTTCAGACACGTACAGTTATAATTAATTCGAAACCCACAATAATAAAAGTCCCTTTGTAAGACATCCGTGATAAATTTATATTAAAGAAAAACGACTAGTCGAAAATAGGAATAAAAGCCACTCACCAGATAAAACAGCAAAATAAAAGTGTTTCTTGTTGAGGTAGATGGTGTCATGATTAAAAGCAGGTTTTCTGAAGACAGAATTAAAGACTCCCTGTGGAACTTAAAATGCTTATTCTGTGGCATCAAGCTGTCAGATGTTTTTGGCGCTAATTGGAACCTTTATTTTGAAGCTCACTTAGTCTTCTTCAGACACGTACAGAGTTATAATTAATTCGAAACCCACAATAATAAAAGTCCCTTTGTAAGACATCCGTGATAAATTTATATTAAAGAAAAACGACTAGTCGAAAATAGGAATAAAAGCCACTCACCAGATAAAACAGCAAAATAAAAGTGTTTCTTGTTGAGGTAGATGGTGTCATGATTAAAAGCAGATGCAGATGCTGAGTGCTGCAGTCAAAAAAATGTGTCATTCTGTTTGGTGCCTTTATATTTAAACGCGTGGGGAGATCTAACCTCCAAGAGAGATCCAACTCTCGCGAGACAGAGTGAAGCTTCAAAAACAAGCCCAATATTTTTTTTGATGATTTATTATCATCAATATTATTTATTATCAGTTATTTATTACCAATAAATGAGCCTGGAACATATTAAACTGAAACTACTCTTTTATCTAAAAAGTAAAAACAGAAGTTATTTTACAAAAATCAAAGTGGGAACAGTACTCATCTCCAATCACCTGTGAGCAGAATAGGATTAGAGAGATGGAAAAGGAAAAGAACACAAGAGCTTCAAAGGGGAGCTGTAACAGTCACATGTTTATAGCCTAATAAAATATATTCAAACCAAATGTATTTACTGTATATATTTCTATAAGCCTACTTGTTTTTTTTATTACAGCCCGTGATAATACATTACAAAAACATTGTAAAAATAAAAAATTACCTTATAAAAGAAAGTCATCCCACTCCTCTATTACGTCTACTACCATCACTTGGATTACAGCGTCACGCTTCTTCTTTTTGAACGTGATGGGCGGAATATTGAGCAGAGTGTCAATCAATGCACTGGAGAATACGGCGAACATAAATGTAAAGAAATGAAGTTGCTTGTCAGATTTTCCTAACAAGCAACAATATTTTTTAAAATAAGCCCCAAAAACAGCAACCCGGGATTTTTTTCACGCAACTTTACAAAAATAAAGAAGCCCAAAGTCGCGTATAATAAGCGGACTTGGCAACTGTGGTGAGGAGGTGCCACAACTAACCTAAACTTAACTATAACTGATCAACAAATATAAAAAGCAACACGTCCATAGTAAGTGTACATTTAGAAGTTCATAATCTTTTACAACAAATAAAAGCTTTTCATTATGTGCATTCCTTACCTTTACACCTTTCACATTTAAAAGCATTAATTTAATAACTTGACACAGTAACCTGTAATGTGCATTTAAGCCTTTCAAGCTGTGCATAGTATAAATTTATATATGCATTTAGTTCATATGAAGTGAATTATTGTAACATTTTAATGTGCATTTAAATCTGTGAACACATTTGTATTTACAACTTGTATGTAGTATTGTGTTTAGCTTCACATTAAGAACTTACATTAATGTTTTATTGTTCAGTTAACACTAAGAGACTCTGTTAAAGCCAGATGATGCTTTTCTCATCCTTTTTAAGCTACAGAAGAAAAAATATTCAATTTCATTTATTTATATAAAATGTTACATTTTATGTTCAAGTTCACAAAACAAGCGAACATTACCATTAGTAGTCAGAAGTCAACAATTCACATTCATACAAAATGATTCATGTGTTCCATTATTACACATACAAAAAAAAAAACCGCTGTGCACATGCACTCATTTCAGTAAATCCAGAAAATCTCCTGGATGCAGAAACATTCATGTGCGGCTCCATTTTGTACGTAACTTTTGCAATCAGTCAAGAGTGTAATAGCAGATGTGGGGTTCTGGCCTCATTGGGTCTGAACGCTGAAAGCGATACCATGGCAAACTACATTTTGAAGCTGGTCAGAATGTGGGTGTCTCGATGCATTGGGCAAGGATGAATCCTAAAAAATATGAATGTTAATTAAAAGTTACCAAAAATACAGATCGGACACAAATCATCCATAGAAACCAATTGAGATGAACAGCTATGAACATATGAATGACATAAATGTTATATCTAATCTACTAATGAATCGCTTCCAGGCCTTTCCTTGATTTTCTTCTACACTATCATATGCGACACATATTTAATATTAGAAGATTTCAATGAAACAAACATTACAGATTTGACACACAAACTTTCCATGACAGCTTAAAGACAAACGTCTCAGGTTTGCATTCTGTTTTTGTGCATTTATTTTTTAATAATCTCTCTTCCCCTTTTGGCCCTTGCTTCCCCTGTTTAGTTCATTCTTTTTGTTGTGGTAGTTTCTGATTATTCTTTTGTTTGTCTTAGTGCTAGGTTGCCGTTTATTCCTCCTGTGTTCCACCTGCATCTTGTTCATCACCTGTTCTGTTCGGTGTATTTAAACCCTCTGTTTGTTTCAGTCCATTGTCTGTTCTTCTGTCATCGGAGCAAGGAGGATCTAATGGCAACACTACTTATTAATCCAAAATCGAAATATCAAACCCGCAGAAATGTTGAGGTGAAAAATAAACATGCAGCAATTCAAGTGTGCATAGGAAAGGACATTTTCAAAGGAATTTTCAAAGGAAAATCCTCAGATTTCTAAATAAGATTAGATTTTTTTGTTTGTTTGGTTGTTTCAGGGTTTCCTGGGAAACTACATTTTCAGATTATCTGATACCTGATTTAAAACCACTTTAGCCATTAAAGCAGGTTCATTACAAAACAGACATTAGCAGTAATAAAATACATATTATAAACTCTACAGATTTCATAAGAAGTGATCTTGAAATGCCATTAAGAATTGACAAACTGCCAAATATAAATATGTAGAAGGGGCAATAGTTAAAGGGTTAGTTCACCCAAAAATGAAAATTACCCCATGGTTTACTTACCCTCAAGCCATCCTAGATGTATATGACTTTCTTCTTTCAGACGAATACAATCGGAGTTCTATTAAAAAAACATCCTGGCTCTTCCAAGCTTTATAATGGGAGTGGATGGGTAGCCCAAAATTTGAAGTCCAAAAAATTGAACCAGTTCATTATAAAAGAAGTCCACACGGCTCCGGGGGGGTTAATAAAAGCCTCCCGAAGCGAAGCGATGCCTTTGTGTAAGAAAAATATCCATATTTACAACTTTATAAACCTTAATCTCTAACTTCCACTAACTGTCGTACGTCGTACGTTCACGAGAGTGGCGTCCAGCGGATGACGTAGGCGTAGCATAAACTCCGGTGAGAATATGCTAGTCTCGCGAGAAACAAGTTTTGTTTACAGCGAAGGAAAACCAGTGTCCTCTTGGCTTATATTGAAATCCTCCGACATTTTTCTTTACAAACTACTAATTCATGACCAGTGTTTTGCTCTCTCCTCTGCGCTTCCACGTTCGTCACCGCGTTCCTCACCGCGTTTGCCTACATGCTACGTCATCCACTGGACGCCACTCTCTCGTGAATGCGTGTATGACAGTTAGCAGAAGTTAGATAGATAACTCCGATTGTATTCGTCTGAAAGAATAATGTCATATACACCTAGGATGGCTTGAAGGTGAGTAAATCATGGGGTAATTTTCATTTTTGGGTGAACTATCCCTTTAAACACCTGGACTGGGTTCCCCTATAATGTCTCACCAGTTCATGGTCAAACCAGGATAAGGCTGACCCTCCCATAGCCGCTGGTTTTGCCATGGAGCCCCGCAGATACAGACTGCTCATCTGAGAGCCAGAGTTCAGGGTGGGATTGGACCATCCGGACAAACAGTGCTTCAAAATTCATATTTGCATGTTTAAGGTTTTGAGAATAACATTTATCAAGAAAACTACAAGTTAAAGGTCTAAATACTACTAAATATTCAAAGTACTAAAACTGTGAGCTAGCCATTAACAAAGCTGTCACACACATTATTAGTCAATGCGATAATCTTAAAAGTAAAATATCACCAAAATAATTGGTCTGCTCGATATATTTCACTCGAGAAATCCGTGTTAGTGCTGATTTGACTATTTGAAACTCACTGAGGGCAAACCCAGGCTGTCAGAGGCATCAAAACTGCAGCGGCGATGGGCTTTGTATTTGTACGCTGGCAGCAGAGTTGAGCGAGGAATACTGACCCTGAAACAAATGTATAGAGATTGACAGAGATGACACGGATACTCAAAAACGGTCACTCAATCACAGACCAAATAAAATAAAATAAACAGAGCTAAGATATTGGAAACTGCAATCTTCTGACCTGTAATGTCTATGGATCCTCTGAACTATTTTATATTGGACTGGCATGGCACAGTCTAAAATAAACATTTTGTTTGAAATTATATAAAATGTATTTTTCTCTCATGCTCAAAGAGGCTGCATTTATTTGATCAAAAATACCGTAAAAACAGTAATATTGTGAAATATTTTTTACAATTTAAAAAATTGTTTTCTACTTGAATATGTTTTGAAATGTAATTTATTTCTGTGATGCAAAGCTGAAATTTCAGCATCATTACTCCAGTCTTCAGTGTCACATGATCCTTCAGAAATCATTCTAATATGCTGATTCACTGCTCACAGTATGTTTAATGCATCCTCTCCCCCCCCAAACTTCTGAAATGCAATGTATGAATAAGTGGGCACTAACAAAACCATATTAAACAGTTTGACATATGCACCTGATTAAAGCAGGCTCTCATTCAGTATAAGGGTGTTCAGATTTGGGCATCTTGCACACTGGACAGGCGGCCTGTGCATCCAGCGGCGCCACAAACAGTCAACTGTTTATTATGTAGCAGAATGTGCCTGTGGACCAAAGGCAAAGGGAAAATTAAGAGAATTATCTGGTACACTCATGACGTCAAAGCGATGTCACGCCAACCCAAATCTGCCGATCTCTTACACTGATGCGTGTCTGCAGGTGTCTGCGGCTCTTCACTGCCAAGCGTGGAAGATGCAAGATCAGCAACAGATGGAAATCTGTGGGAAAAAAAGA